ACTTTTGGTCTTTATACCCTGTAGCACGTGCTGTCATAGTTTGGTTGTGGAAGGGACACTCACAGGGGCCCTTACACTTGCCCCGTGGAAACCAGTGGTAATTCTCAAAGGGGCTACCCTTCCCCTCATCCAGACCATTCCCAGGCGTGAGCACCCTGCAGACACAGTGTTGAAGTTAAACTAATCTTGCCTTTTATCTTTAAAATAGATCTTTTTCTTAAGAGAATAGTATGCCTCAGTTCACCACCAACAATGATTAAAGGTCAGAATTAGAGACAGGCTTATACAAGTTTGCATAGGTTCCTGTATAAGGCTGACTATTTTCAGTAGTTACTTGATTAAACTTTGACCTCTCTTTACCCTCCTGAAATGAACTCTCTTACATATGGGATACTTACGGTTGCAAAGCATCAGAGGCCCTACTTTTATGTTTGTGGTTCTCTTCAAAGGCTGCATATTCAAATCACCTGGGAAGTATTAGCAAAAATAAGATGCCTAGGGTTGCCCTAGAAATTCTGAGCTTTTTGGTCTTGGAGGGACCTGGGCAAACAAATTTTGTAAAGGCCTCCGGTTGATTCTACTGCAGAAGTCAAGTTGAAAATCACTGCTCTGATAGTTACTGTTCTCTCCAACAAGCTGTGTTGTAAAACCATATTGAAAGGAGCTGTGATGCTCTAAAGCCTCAAGTGTGGTCCACTCGGCAGATGCATGGCAGCACCTGGGAGCTTGTTAGAAATGCAGGTCCTCGGGCTCCAACCCAGACCTCTGAATAAGAAGCTGCCTTGTAATAAGATACCCCGTGGGATGCATAAACGTATTAAAGTTTGAGAAGCGCTGCCACAAGTGAATATTGGTATAATCTCATTAAAATGAGATCTAAAGATAGTGTTTTTCTGGGTTTATAGACCTAAATCCCAGGCAAGGTCTGTCATGCCTCTTTGCCATGGCTAATTGAGCCCCCTTCACGAAGTAGGGATGCCCACACAGCAGCAGAACCCTCTCAATGGTGGCCCCTAATAAGTACAAGATTTTGACTCTTCTAATTTCCCTTGTCTTTCATCATCTTCTCCTGCCAAACCATCTCCATGTTTTCTCCTTCCCATTTGTCATTGCTTGATATATATCAAACATATTTCTTAAAACGCTTTAATGGTTTAAACTGCCACAGAGCTATCCCACTGTTCCTTCTGAGTA